CTTTGGCCGTAAAACACTGGTTAAAACGACAGTTGGAGCCTCAACACTCGGTCCAACCTTTTTGGGCTTGGTCTCTTCAGGAACTGAAGGTAGTACCGTGGGTGGAACAGCTGAAACCTCAGTGCCTGGCTTCTTTGGTTCAAATCTTAGCTTAGTCTCTTCAACCTTTGGCTGTAGGTCACTGGATAAAGCTGGAGCCTCAGTACCCAGTTTCTTAGGCTCAACCTTTTTGGGCTTGGTCTTTTCTGGAACTGGCGATAGCACAGTGGGTGGAATAATTGGAACCTCGCTCGGCTTTTCAGGTTCAAATTTTCTCGGCTTGATCTCTTCCACAACCTTTGGCCTGGGTAAAACGGCAGCTGGAGCCTCAACACTTGGTTCAACCTTTTTGGGCTTGGTCTTTTCGGGAACTGGCGATAGCACCGTGGATGAAACAGCTGAAACCTCAATGCCTGGTTTCTTTGGTTCGAATCTTAACTTAATCTCTTCAACAACCTTTTGTAAATCACTGGGTAAAACGACAGCTAGAGCCTCAGTACTCGGTTTCTTGGGCTCAACCTTTTTGGGCTTGGTCTTTTCTGGAACTGGCGATAGCACAGTGGCTGGAACAATTGGAACTTCAGTGAGCTTTTCGGTTACTCGTCCCTTCGGCTTGATCTCTTTCACAACCTTTGGCTGTAAGTCAATAGATAAACCTGGAGCCTCAGTACTCAGTTTCTTAGGCTCAACTTTTGACTTAGTTTCTGGAACCGGTAGCATCGTGGGTGGAACAACTGGAACCTTACTGCTCGGCTTTTCGGGTTCAATTTTCTTCAGCTTGATCTCTTCATCAACCTTTGGCTGTGCATTACTGGGTAAAACGACCGCTGTAGCCTCATTACTCAGTTTTTTGGGCTCAACCTTTGTGGGCTTGATCTTTTCAACTGGCAGTAGGACCGTAGTTGGAACAGCTGAAACCTCTGTGACTAGCTTCTTGGGTTCAAGTCTCAGCCTAATCTCTTCAACAACCTTTGGCTGTAGGTCACTGGACAAAGCTGGAGCCGTACTCAGTTTTTTAGGCTCAACCTGTTTGGACTTAACTTCTGGAACCGGTAGCAACGTGGGTGGAACTACTAGAACCTTCGTGCTTGGCTTTTCGGGTACAAGTTCCTTCGGCTTGGTCTCTGCCACAACCTTCGGCTGTAAATCACTGGGTAGAACCGCAGTTAGAGCCGCTTTACTCGGTCGCTCACGCTCAAGCTTCTTCGGCTCTGCTTCTTCTGCACTTGCGTTTGATGCAGCGGCAGCTGTAGCTTCAGTGATTGGCTCCCCAGGCTCAACATTCTTCCGCTTGATCTCTTCTATAACTGGCGGTAAAATAGTGGGTAAAACGACAGCTGGTTGCACGGACTCAAGCTTCATCGGCCTCCCTTCTCCCACACTAGCCACTCCAGCAGCCTTTGGAAAAGCGAGAGAATCTTTTGTGCTTGGCTTCTTGGAGTCACGTTTCTTCGGCTTGGTTTCTTGTACAATTTTTGGCTGTTTGGGTGGAACGACAGTTGAAGGCTCAAACCTCGGCTTAAGCTCAAGTTTTTTGGGCTTAGTCTCTTCCGCATTTGGCGGTAAATCTTTGGGAGGAGCCTCAATGTTTGGCTTCTTAGGCTCAATCTTCTTCTGCTTGATCTCTTCTACAACTGGCGGTATCATGGGTAAAATGACAAATGGACCTTCAGTAGTCGATGGTTCAGTCTCAAACTTTTTCGGCTTTCCTTCTGCACTTCCAGGCCCTGCACTTGATGGAACAACAAGAGAGAACCCAGTGCTTGGCTTTTCGAGCCCCAGTTCCTTCGGCTTGATCTTTTTTGCTACCTTTGACGGTAACGTAACTGGAACGACAAGTGGGACCTCATTGAGCAGTCCGGGCTCAGGCTCCTTTGTTCTTTCTCCTTCTGCACTTCCTGACTCGGTACTTGATGGAACAACAGTTTTAGCCTCAACTGGTCGTTTGGGTTCAACACTCATTGGTTTCGCTTCTTCTCCAACCTCTGGCGGTAAGACTACGGCTGGAACGACCTGTAAAACATCAGTTGCAGCGCGTTTGACATCAACCTTTTTTGCTTCTTCTTTCATAGCCATTGGCGGCAAGACTGCGACAGGAACGACAGGCTGAGCCTGTGCACTCGTCTGCTTTATTTCATTTTTATTTCTGACTTCCTGTATACCCTTTGACATTAAAGGTGCTGGGGTCGCGAGGAGAAGAGTTTCTGTGCTTGGCTGTTCGGGTGCTTGCTTCTCTGGTTTCTTTTCTGTAGATTCAATATCAGTAGGTAATATGAAAGGCTCCGGTTTGGTTTTTGGTCCATCAATAGCAAGCTTCTTTAGCTCCTCTTTTTCCATAACCTTTGGTTTTGTGACAAGAGCCTTTGGTCTGTGCTGTTTTTGCTCGTTTTTCGGCTGCTCCTCTGTCTCTTCTAAAATTTTCGGGTACGTAGAAATGCGTGAAACAGAACTTTGAACCTCCTTAGTAGGCCGTCTATGTTCTTTCTGCTCCTTCTTTTCTAAAACTTGCGGCGATAAAGCAGTGAGTGAAATAAGAGTTGGAGCTTCTGTTTTTGATTCCCTAAGCTCACGCTTCTTCTCCCTCTGTTCTTTTGCGATCCTCGGTAAAAGCTTAAGCGGACCAAATGTTTCTGCATCTCTGAGCCTGGTCTCAGATTTTCCTAGTTCTTCCATAACATGAGTTTGGCTCGGTTCCTCAGGTTTTCGCTTCCTCTTCTGTTCTTCTGTCTCTTTCATGAATTTAGACTTCTGTGTTTTTAAAACCACAGAATGCACAGCAGCAACTGGTATATGAGGTCGGACGATTTTTGGCTCCTTTTCTGCGTAGCTGTAGACCCATTCACGTACAGCATACATTTCTCCAGTAGGTAGCCTGCGAACTTCAGCTTTGAATGGATATGGAGGAGCCACTCTTGTCATACGTTCTAAAGGTCTCTTCATGAATAATAGCAGGTTCTATGTACATCATTTTTTCTAGCTGTGCGTACCTCTCTCATTGACAGTCCCACCTGGTCGTTTTAGTCCTAGTTCCATCTTCCTTCGTTTACGCTCCTCCTCATCGCGAGCCAGTTTGCGCATTTCACGTCTTTCTTGTTGCTTTGCTTTTTCCACTTCACGTAGAACCTCCAACTGAAACAAGTGGTTGCGTTCCATGACACTTCAAAATTATGATTTATTACCATACCTCTTTATTCCTGATTCGTTGCTCCTGTCCACCAGGAAAGAAATTTCCAGGCTTGTCGACCTCAATTACTGCTACCGCTTCTCTAAATTGCAAACATCAAATCCCCGCCTTTTTAATTTGACGCTGGACTACTGAGCTGCAATAATATCGTTGCCGAGCTACCACAACTCACTGTTCATAAGATATCTCGTTGGCGGTGAGATGTGGTTGAAAGGAGACAGTGATTGCTAATCGGACGTCCTGTAGGCTTGTGACAAATTTCTGTACTGTTTTACACACAGCTTCCTTTATGAGCTGGAATCAGAAATTTGCTGTTGCTTTTGAGTGATTGATGATAGATCTACTGATTTTCTTCACTAACTGCGGTATTGTGACATTGGAACTCCTTCTCGAGTATGAATTCAGGAAGTTTAACTTCTTTTCCGGACCTGAATCAACGGCATCGAATCACATTCGGATCACACATTGAAGATGACTTGCATTAAATCCCGCAAGTGTCGACCAGCTAGTGATACGAATAGTAAAAAAATGAACTATACCGTGCATCCTACTACCACAGTGACCATGGTGATGTGTTGATCTCACTTCTTAATGCAGCCCATATTCTCAGTTCCGCACGTCG